TTATGGAAAAATGGCAGAACTAAGCTGTTACATATAAATAATCACCTTGAATTTAAATGGCCTCACCTCTACACTTAAAAAATACAGACTGGCTGAATAGATTTTTTTAAATAGATCCATCTATTTGCTGCCTACAAGAAACACATGCACCAACAAATATACACACAGACTTAAAGTGAAAAGATGAAAAAAAAACACATTCATGCTAACAGAAAGCAAAAAATGGCAGGTTTTGCCATCCTAATATCATACAAAATAGACTTAAGCACAAAACCTGTTAAAAGAGACAAAGAAGGGTACTATGCATTGGTTAAGTAATCAATTCAACAGGAAGATGTGACTATAATAAATGTATAGGCACCTAATTACAGAGTGCCTGGCTACTTAAAAGAAATTTTAATGGATCTAAAGGGAGACATAGACCCCAATACAATAGCAATGGGGGACTTCAACACCCTACTTTCAGCAATGGACTGATCAACCAGAAAGAAAATCAACAAAGAAACAACAGATCTAATCAAAACTACAAAACGTTACACCCCACAGTTGCAGAATACATATTGTTTTCATCAGTGCATGGAACCTTCTCTAGGATAGATCACATGTTAGGCCATAAAGAAAATCTCAGCAAATTCAAAAAAAGTCACAATCATATCATGCATCTTCTCTGATCACAATGGAATAAAGCTGGAAATCAACAACTCAAGAATCTCTAGATCATATGCAAACACATGAAGACTGAACAACATGCTCCTGAATGAACAGTGGAGAAATCAAAAGAGAAATCAAAAAATTTCTGGAAACAAATGGAGATGACAATACATCATATCAAAACTTATGGGATACAGCAAAAGCAGTATTAAGGAGGAAGTTTATAGCAATCAGAGCCTACATGAAGATATTGGAAAGGTACCAAATAAGTGAGCTCCCAGTGCATCTCAGGAACCTGAAAAAACAACAATAAACTAAACCCAAAGTTATTAGGAGGAAAGAAATAATCAAAATTAGAGAAGAAATAAACAATATTGAAACTAAAAAAAAAAGAAAAAGAAAAACACTACAAAAGATCAGTGAAATGAAGAGCTGGTTTATTGCAAAAATAAACAAAATTGATATACCTTTAGTTCAATTAACCAAAAAAGAGGGAGAAAAATCAATAAAATCAGAGATGAAAAAGGAAATGTAAAAACATACACCACAGAAATAAAAAAGAATCATCATGAACTACCACAAAGAGCTATATGCCAACAAATTTGGAAACCTAGAAGAAATGGATACATTCCTTAGACACATACATCTAGAACCAACTTATCTTTGATAAAAGAACTAAAACTAATTCCTGGAGCAAAGACTGTCTCTTTAACAAATACTGCTAGGAAAAATGGATCTTTTTATGGAGAAGTATGAAACTGGACCCATAACTTAAACCTTACACAAAAATCCACTCAAAATAGCCAATAGACACTTGAAAAACATGTTCAAAATCACTAGCCATCAGAGAAATGTAAATCAAAAATCACAATGAGGTTTCACCTCACTCCAGTTAGGATGGCTCTTACACAGAAATCAACAGACAACAAATGCTGGTGAGGATGTTGGGGAAATGGTACCCAATCCACTGTTGGTGGAAATGTAAACTGGTGCAGCCACTGTGGAATACAGTATGGCGATATCTCAGAAATCTGAATATAGACCTATCATATGATCCAGCCATCCCACTCCTGGGAATTTACCCAAACCAAAAGAAATAAGCATCTCAAAGATTTATCTGTACCCCATGTTCACTGTAGCATAATTTACAATAGCTATAATCACCTCAGATGTCCATAAGCTATTGACTAGACAAAGAAATTATGATATATATATACTATGGAGTACTGCTCATCTGTAAAAATATGAAATCCTGTCTTTGCAGCAAAATGGAAGCAACTAGAAATAATTATAGTTAGTCCAAAAAGACAGATATCATATGTTTTCCCTGAGCCGAGGTAACTAATAGAGCACCTGAAATGTAATGTATTGGAGTGAAAAGGACATTTTGAGATTCAATGATTGTTTACAGCCCTTGTCTCTTTCATTGGGGAACAGTGTTTTTGTTTTTGTTTTTTTCTTCATACTATCTGTTGAACTCTTTTACTTAGTGTAGGGTTGTCTTTATGATCATTAAGTAAACTGAAAATAGATCTTTGTAAAAATTAAGAGTGGAAATAGGAGAGGGAAGAGGAAGAAGGATTGGAGCATGAGCAGGAAGAAGGGTATGATAGGAAGTATAATTATGTTCCTAAATCTCTATATATAAAATACATGAAATTTGCATAACTTAAATAAAATTTAAAACAAGAAAAAAAAAGTGGATGACAGGGAACTGCCACTGTGGCTCAGGGGGTAAAGCCACTGCTTGTGACGCCAGTATCCAATATGGGTGCCAGTCTGTGTCCTGGCTGCTCCGCTTCCAATTCAGCGCTCCCTCTAATGACCTGGGAAAGAAGTAGAAGTTCCAAGTGCCTTTGCCCTTGCCATCCATGGTTGAGCTCCAGAAGAAGCTCCTGGCTCTTGACTTTGGCCTGGCACAGCCCTGGTCATTGCTGTCATCTAGGGAGTGAACCTGCAGATGGATGATCTGTCTTACCCTCTCTGTAATTCTGACTTTCAAATAAATACATCTAAAAAATCAAATCAAAAAGTGAATGACAGGACCAGAGCTCAATGTTTCTGCCACATGAGACTCAGAAGGCAGCCATCTACAAACCAAGAAAATGGTCCTCAAAAGAATATAACTATGCTGGCAACCTAAACCCAAACTTCCAGCCTCCAAAACAAGGAAAAAATAAATGCTGTTAGCCAACTACTAGATGGTGTACTCTAATAGCAGCCTGAACTAAGGCAAACTTTTAGAAACAGATGAAAGAGTAATACTTTCCAACTCAATTTATCAAACTGGCATAACCCTAATATCAAAATTGGACAAAAACATTTACAAGAAATGAATATTAAAAATCAACACCACCCAGGATATAGATGAAAAATCTTTAGCAAATCAATCTGAGGAATACATAACATCATAGTCAAACAAGTTTATCCAGGAATGTAAGGTTGATTTAATGCTCAAAGTCTACTGACATATCCACCAAATGAACAAAATAGAGAAGTAAAACCAGCTCTCTGCTATGGCCTGGGAAAGCAGTAGAATATGGGCTCAAGTCCTTGGGCCCCTTCACCCACGTGGGATACCCAGAAGAAGCACCTGGCTCCTGGCTTCAGATCAGCGCAGCTCTGGCCATTACAGCCTATTGGAGAGCAAACCAACAGATGGAATACCTCTCTTTCTCTGTCTCTCCTTCTTTCTCTGTGTAACTCTGACTTTCAAATAAATAAATAAATCTTTAAAAATGAGTAAAACACATTGGCAAGGAAGATATAAAACTGTCTATTCACAGAGAATATTGTCTACATAGAAAATCCCAAAGTATCCAAAAAAGAAGCTATCAGAACTTCTATATAAGTCTAACAAAGTGACAATATATAACATCAATTTTAAAAAACCAATGATATTTCTATATACTAGCAAACAATCAAATTGAAATTTTAAAAATATTCCATTTACAAAGAATACCATATAGCAGTGTTATCATTTGCCACAACATGTATGGAACTGGAGAACATGGTAAGTAAAATAACACAGGCACAGGGCAAACACCACATGATCTCACTTGTAAATGGGATCTAAAAAAGCCGGTCCCATAGGAAGAGAGACTACCAAAAATGGATGGAGAAAAGGAAGATACTGACCAAATTCCATTAGGCTACAGGAATAATTCAGTGATCTACTGTACTGCATGGTGATGATAGCTAATAACATATTGTATATTTCAAAATTGCTAATAGAATACATTTTTAATATTCACATGACAAAAAATAAGCTGGTAAGATAATAGATATGTCAATTACCTTGACTGAATATTCTTACAATTTATACATAGATCAAAACAAGATATTGTATGCCATAAATATGCATAATTTAATAAATTAAAAATGAATTAAATAAATGACATATCATATTGCAGAAATGACAAGATTTTAAACTATCTGCATGTACATTCGACTAACACTTGCATTTGTTTAAGTCTGTTAAAGATGCCTAACATTTTCTTCCTGATAACACTCCCTTAGGACACATGGGCCCATCTGAAATTTAAAACTGAGAGTGCTGAGCTGTGACTGCTTAAGGAGAGTTAGCCAATGAAGTTAGGCAAGGCAAAGCCATGTGCAAAGTCATCAGTAAACAGAAACTAAGAGCTTTTGCAGTGAAGAGGAAGAAGCAAAGAAATGAGGTCACATTCCCAGAGAAAGAAAGGGAGCAACTCTATGATCACCAGTCTCCCATCTGATCTGATTACATTTTCCTTACCTGGACTTGCAGAGCCACCCTGACATACCTAACAAATTCCATTAATTAAACTAGCCTCTAATACCTCTCAATAAACAAAATATTGTCTAAATAAGATAATTAGTAGACTTTTTAAAAATCTTGAGAAACAGTGGCAATATCCAGCAAGATGATATAAAACACTGTGATATCTACCAGACAGTGATCTGTGCCAAGACAAATATCACATGCTCTTTGAATCCCCCAGCACAAAATATTGTGTGTCCATTCTTTTTTTTATTTAATTAAATTGGTTTTAAACACTCTTATTGTGTGGCCTTTTATCTTAGACTTCACACCAACAGATTCATTTGAAAATCTGTATTAGTATCCTAAGTTTAGGGCACAAGATAACAGCACTTGTTAAATTCAGGAAAGAAATGAGCCAGATGGTATTTGACAGATGGCAGAAGATAACTTATGTTTTAAATTAGACTTCACTTACACATCAAAAAATGTTTTAGGCTAAGCTAGACACTTACACAACCACTACTCCATGAGGATTTGTTCTGAACAATTTTCAAATTCTGTGTAATGCTTTCTTGCAAGTAGCAATGACAGACACAAAACCTACCTCCACTGATTCCAGGTGATGAAAGGTTTTGATCACTTAAATCTTCTGCTAACATCCAAGCTGGAAGGATTCTTTTCCTCTGTGTAAGGTTTGGCTGTTGATTACTGACATCTCTACAGTCACCTACAAAAGACTAAAAAGGCACCTGTAGGTTACTTCCTAAAAATAATCGTGCATCCTTAGTGACTTGGTGGTATTCATTTTTACAGAAAATTACCATGAAAATATTCATCTGCATCTCAATGCATAGATGAGTTAGTCAAATTTCTTAAACAAGGAAATTAATGATCTCTATTAATTGCAGTGCTATGCCAGTGGGATATTCTCTACAGCTTAAAGAAAACAGCAGTGGCCACCACCTGGAGTGCCACATCCCATTTGGGCACCAGTTCAAGTCCCGGCTGCTCCACTTCCAATCCAGCTCTCTGCAATGGGCGGGGAAAGCAGTAAAAGCTGGCTAAAGTCCTTGGCCCCTGCACCCGCGTGGGAGACCCAGAAGAAGCTCCTGGCTCCTGGCTTCGGATCAGCACAGCTCCGGCTGTTGAGGCCATCTGGGGAGTGAACCAGCAGAGGGAAGACTCTGCCTCTCACTCTGTGTAACTCTGACTTTCAAATAAATAAATAAATCTTTAAAAAAAAAAAAAAAAGGCAGCAAAATGAGATCAATACTAGCACTACTGGCACTACTGTTAGGATATGCCTATTTGTAGTTCTTTTCTCTCCTGGAAATAACTTGAAGGCCATATTACAAATGCAGGAGACCGGCGCTGCAGCTCACTAGGCTAATCCTCTACCTGAGGCGCTGGTTCCCCGGTTCTAGTCCTGGTTGGGGTGCGGGTTCTGTTTCCGGTTGCTCCTCTTCCAGTCCAGCTCTCTGCTGTGGCCCGGGAAGGCAGTGGAGGATGGCCCAAGTGCTTGGGCCCTGCAACTGCATGGGAGACCAGGAGGAAGCTCCTGGCTCCTGGCTTCAGGCCGGCGCAGCACCAGCCATAGCGGCCATTTGGGGAGTGAACCAATGGAAGAAAGACCTTTCTCTCTGTCTCTCTCACTGTCTAACTCTGCCTGTCAAAAAACAAACAAACAAACAAAACAAAAACAAATGGAGGAGATCTTAGATTTCTCACCGCACTTGCTGTGGAAGTGGTCTGGCCCTTGATATTTTCTGCGCTTTTTTCCAGTTGTGAGGTACTAGGTGTCTTATCAGGCAAATTAATCATGGGAGATTTTGGTATTTCATTTGGTGTATTATCTTCTTCAAGCATTTGACTGTTTCTATAAAATAAAAGAGAAATTTATTTTTAATCACTTAAATTTAAACTTCATTATTGTATCATGGTTGGCCACCATTTCACTGCAAATAAAAGCAAAGCTCCCTCCATGCCCAGCTTTTTTTCTGTTCTCTCTTATTCTTTCTCTAAAGGTAAATACCAACTTGAATTAGATGATTTTTAGTCCCAGACACATTGTACGCTTTTATTACATGTATGTATGCATTTATTACCTGATAGAAAAGGTATATGCTTTATATATTTCTAACTTTTTGGTTTCTCAATACACCATGGAGATTTATCAACATTTTAACCTGGAGCTCTCTCTACTTCATTCTCTTGCACACTATTACAGAGCTACACCACATTTATTTAACCATTTTTCAACTGTTTTCACAACTAAAATGAGTGCTAAAGTGAGCACTCTTTTTTTTTTTTTTTTTTTTTTTTTTTTGACAGGCAGAGTGGACAGTGAGAGAGAGAGACAGAGAGAAAGGTCTTCCTTTGCCGTTGGTTCACCCTCCAATGGCCGCTGCGGCCAGTGCGCTGCGGCCGGCGCACCGTGCTGATCTGAAGTCAGGAGCCAGGTGCTTCTTCCTGGTCTCCCATAGGGTGCAGGGCCTAAGCACTTGGGCCATCCTCCACTGCACTCCCGGGCCATAGCAGAGAGCTGGCCTGGAAGAGGGGCAACCGGGACAGAACCCGGCGCCCTGACTGGGACTAGAACCTGGTGTGCTGGCACCGCAGGTGGAGGATTAGCCTATTGAGCCGCGGCGTCAGCCAAAGTAAGCACTCTTATCCAGCCTGGGATAGTCAGAAAAAGTACCAGCTGTGGAAACAGCTGGCTTGGATTTGGAACCTACTGCCACCATATATTAGCTATATGACCTTGGCCAAATCTCAGACTTTCTGTGTCTTACATTTCTTCATCTTTAACACAGGGATAATAACTGTACTTATTCCATATAGAGATTGTCACGAAGATTAAGATTTCTAGGGGCTGATGTTGGAGTGTAGCAGGAAAAGCCACCACTTGCCAATGTAGTAACCCATATAGGTGCAAGTTGAGTCTCAGCTGCTCCAATTCAGATCCAGCAACCTACTAATGCGCCTGGGAAAGCAGCAGAGGTTGGCCCAGGTACTTGAGCCCCTGTCATCCATCATTCAGGGAGACCAAATGAAGCTCCTGGCTCCCAGCTTTGGCCTGGCCCATCCTGGGCTGTTGTGGCCATTGTGGAGTGAAACAGCAGCTAGAAGATTTCTCTCTCTCTCTCTCTGTAACTCTTTCAAAAATAGGTTTAAAAAAAAGTTTCTACTTTTCAGATGACTAGCCTAGTGGTTAAGATACTGGTTAGGGGGACCAGCGCTGTGGCGCAGTGGATTAAAGCCCCAGCCTGCAGTGCTGACATCTCAGTGGGCAACAATTCAAGTCCCAGTTGCTCCACTTCCAATCCAGCTCCCTGCTAATGTGCTTGGGAAGGCAGAGGAAGATGGCCTAAGTCCTTGGGCCTCTGCACCTACGTGAGAGGCCTGGAAGAAGCTCCTGGCTCCTGGCTTCTGGCTTCAGATAGGCTCAGCTCTAAATGTTGCAGCCAATTGGGAAGTGAACCAAAGGATGGAAGACCTCTCTCTGTCTGTACCTCTCTCTCTAATTCTTTCAAGTAAATAAAATAAATATTATTTTTTAAAAAAAGATGCTGGTTAGGATAGTTCTTTAGTTTTTATAGTGAATTTCTGTGATTGCTTTTTATGTAAAAAAACCAACCTTGGATTTCTTGAACAAGACCCACTTGATAATTGTATATGGTATTACACTTTTTATATAATGCTGGATTTGATTTGCAAGTATTTTGCTATGAAGAATATTTATCTGTAGTATTGGTTTTATGTAAAGTCTTGTCAGATTTTGGTATCATGATTGTGGAAACTTATAAAATAAGTTAGGAAGTGTATCATCTTCTATTTTGGAGGGAAAAAGTATAATATTGGTATTGTTTATTCCTTGAAAGTTTAATAGAGGGGCTGGTGCTGTGGTGTAGCGAGTAAAGCCGCTGCCTACAGTGCCAGCATCCCACATGGGCGCTGGTTCGAGTCCCTGCTGCTCCACTTCTGATCCAGCTCCCTGCTATGGCCTGGGAAAGCAGTAGAAGATGGCCCAAGTCCTTGATCCCCTGACCCATGTGGGAGACCCAGAAGAAGCTCCTGGCTCCTAGCTTTGGACTGGCACAGCTCCAGCCATTGCAGCCATGTGGGGAGTGAACCAGCAGATGGAAGATCTCCCTCCTCTCTCTCTCTCTGCCTCTTCTTCTCTTTCTGTGTAACTCTGACTTTCATGTAAATAAATAAATCTTTAAAAAAAGTTTAATAGAAAATATCTTCTGTATATTAAGATAATCGAAAATGAATCTTGATGTGAATGGAAGGGGAGAGGGAGTGGGAAAGGGGAGGGTTGTTGGTGGGAGGGACGGTATGGGGGGGGAAGCCATTGTAACCCATGAGTCGTACTTTGGAAATTTATATTCATTAAATAAAAGATAAAAAAAAAAAAAAAGTTTAATAGAATTCACTATTGAAATTCCTTGAAGGGAATTCATAAATTATGAATTCAAAATTTTTAAATATTTATTTATTTCATAGGCAGAGAGGAGAGTGCTCCCATCCATTAGTTTATTCCACAAATGCCCACAACGGCTCCTGCCTGGGGCTGGATCCAGGAACTAAGAACTCAATCCAGGGTTCCTATCTGAGTGCCAGGGAACCAATTACCTGAGCTATTACCCCTGTCTCCCAGAGTATGCATTAGCACGAAGCTGGAATCAGGAGCCCAAGGCAGGTATTGAATCTAGTCACTCCAACATGGGAATGCAGGTATCTCAACTGGTGTCTTAACTCTAGGATAAATGTTCACCCCTCAATTTTTTTAATGGAGATAAGATTCATTATATTTCTACTTCTTTTCTAAGTGTATTTATTTGGAAGGCAGAAAGAGACAGAGGCAGACATAAAGACTTTCTGCCTGCTGCTTCATTTGCCAAATGTCCACAACAGTCAAGACAGGGTCAGTCCAAAACTATAAGCTGGAAACTCAAACCAGGCCTCCAACATGAGTGTCAGGAACCCAGGTATTGATGTCATCAATTCATATAGGATGTTGGAATGAGAAGCACAGTTGGAACTTGAACCCAGGTCTCAAACCCAGACTCTTCAATAAAGAATGCAGGCATCCCAAGCACCATCTTAACTGCTACATAAAACACCCAACTCCAGATTTCTAGTTCTTCCTGCATTTGTTTCAGGAAGTTTGTTTTTAAAGAACTGTACCTATTCCAGAGGTGGGGAACGTCTAGCCTGTGGGCAGTACTAGGCCCACAAAATCATCTGGTCTGGCCCTGCAGGTGGGAACTGAAATTCAATAAATCTAAAGCAGACTAATTGTTAAGCTGATAACTGTGTATGGCCCATGAATAATTTTATAAATTGTCGCTCCCCCACTCGCGGAGGAACGACACCGGACCCTGCACTGTTCTCTTTCCCCAGCCCTTCCCAGGTTAGCTGCCGCCCCCCCACCCCACCTCCGCGGAGGGGCGGCACCCCCGCCACTTCCCCCGCTTCTGCGGAGGAGCAGCACACCACCAGCCGGCTCTCTCAGGGGTTCCTCAGATGTTCCCCCTACATATTGTCTCTCTCTTCCTTTATAATCCTTTTCAACCAATCCCAACTCTGCTGGCATTCTCTCCCCATGCGCTGAGCATGCTGCTCTCCTCCAATCAGGGGCAGGATCAGCTCCTGCAGCTTGTTAGTCGAATTGGTGAGGCAGCCGTGTGGAAGTTGTTTACTCTCTCTCAGCACCATATGATGGGAGATCAGATGCATAGAATTAGTCTTAGCAGTTCCAGTAATTTAGTGTAGTCTCGGTCGCTCCCCACAATAAATTTCCAAATGGCCCTTGGCAGACCAAAGGTTCCTCACCCCTGAAACTGTCAAATTCATTGACATAAAATCTTCAATAATATTTTTCCATTGTTCCTTTAAGGTCTATAGTATTAGCAATGGTATCCTTCCCTTCTATTCCTGACAGTGGCAAATTTTGTGTTTCCTCATAGTTTTTTTTCCCCCAATAAGCTTTACTAAGGTTTTTCCAGTTTTATTGATCTTTTCAAAGAACCCAAACTATGCTTTCTGATGTTCTTTTTTTTTTATTTTCTGTTTCATTGACTTCCAATCTTTTTGTTTGCTTTTCTTCCTTTCTATTTACTTTGGGAATAACTGACATATAGGGTTACTTATAAATATGTTGTTTAATTTCAAAATACTTGAAGATCTTCATAGATATTGTATTGGTACTTATTTCTGATTAATACCATTACCATCAGAGAATTTTGCCCAACTGCTTTTACAGGTCCAGTTTATACTTGCTATCTTTTTAAAGCTAGCACAATGCCAAGTAATCTTCTACTGACTGGCTCAAAAAAGTAATGTATGAATTTTAACTTTGTAATAAATGTTAAAATGCTTATTCTATTTCCTAATTTCCTCAGTTTCTCTATTCTGTATTTCCTGTTATTTCATATAAGAAAGAAAACTTAAAATATAGTCTAAGTCAGAGGTTAATACTTTAATGAAACTTATAAAGCTAAAATATGATGAAAATATAGTCATTTTCAAGTTAGGTACCTTGGTTTCTGTTAGATGGCAAACATATTCTGAATACAATGTAAAAGATATCACATGTGGATGGGCAATCACTACTGAGGCATAATGTTTCCAAAGTCAAATGTCCTCTAGAAACACAGATACACAAAAACACACAAATCACAGAACAACTACATGTCCAATACAATTTAATCTAGGAATGGTTTCTACTGAAGCATTTGTGATGACTGATTACTTACTCTCATTTCATCAGGCAATCTTACCTCAAGGTACATTCCATTTCTGTTTCAGAGCGTGTAGAAAAAACACGGAAAATATATTTGTCAACTAACAGAGAAAAAGTATCTCCAGGATTCAACCAGCGCCACAGATTTGTCTTCATTGGTAAGAGCTGGCTCCTCTTAGAAGACTGATAAAAACATGGATTTGTGTGTATCTAACAAAGAAAAAAGAATACAGTGATGGTATAAATCCATATTATGACAAAATTCAACTAAATATGAATTCATTCAGAACTTTTGTATCAAAATAATTTATGTATAAACTTAAAAGTTTAATAAACCTGGCACCCATAAGTACCATAATTATTATTTATACATAAAAAGTAAAGCCCTAATATACTTTCCATTTCTCCATAAGGCAAAAAAAAAGTTATCACTTAGCTGGTTAAAGATTTCCTGTTTTGGCTGGCGCTGCGGCTCAATAGGCTAATCCTCCGCCTGCGGCGCCGGCACACCAGGTTCTAGTCCCAGTCGGGGCGCCGGGTTCTGTCCCGGTTGCCCCTCTTCCAGGCCAGCTCTCTGCTGTGGCCCAGGAATGCAGTGGAGGATGGCCCAAGTGCTTGGACCCTGTACCCCATGGGAGACCAGGAGAAGCACCTGGCTCCTGGCTTCGGATCAGTGCGGTACGCTGGCGTGGTGTGCTGGTCTTGGCAGCCATTGGAGGGTGAACCAATGGCAAAGGAAGACCTTTCTCTCTGTCTCTCTCTCTCACTGTCCACTCTGCCTGTCAATAATAATAATAATAATAATAATAATCTATCTAGTTTAACTTCATGAAGACCTGGTCATAATTCTTTGCTATGTTTATCTGTTATTACAAACGTTTCTATCATTTAAATCTGTGTTGTAAGAAAGCAGTAAAGGGGCCAGCACTGTGGCATGGTGGGTAAAGCTGCTGCCTGTGGTGCCAGCATCCCAAATGGATGCCGATTCCAGTACTGGCTGCTCCACTTCCGATCCAGCTCCCTACTCATGTGCCTGTGGAAGATGGCACAAGTGCTTGGGCCCCTGCACCCACGCTGGAGACCCAGAAGAAGCTCCTGGCTCCTGGCTTCAGATAGGCCCAGCTCTGGCTGTTGCAGCCATTTGGGGAGTGAACCAGTAGATAGAAAACCTCTCCCTCTCTCTCCCTCCTCTCCTCTCCTCTCCTCTCCTCTCCTTTCTTCTCTCTCTTCTCTCTCTCCTCTCTCTCCTCTCTCTGCCTTTGCCTCTCTGAAACTCTACAAATAAATAAATAATTTTTTTAAAAAAAGGAAAGAAAGCAATAAAATAAAACTTGGAGATAAAGGTCAGAGATAATACAAATTTAATAGGCTTTTAAAAATTGGTTTGAGTCATTTAAAAAAATCATATATAAGACTGCATATGAATGGGGATGCAGTGTAATTTATGCAACAGCATATTCCTAAAGAGTCATGGGTGTTGGATTTTGTGGCAGAGGCCCCTCTCAGAATAGAGGGAAGAGAAAGTAAAAGCTCTAAGGGGGGACTGGCTAAAAGGAAACGTGGTGAGGGGCCTTCTGAGAACATTGTAATAAAAGGACTTTGTGGAGAGCAGGGGTGGATAGCATGGCCTGTAGCAATTCTGTAACCAATCCTGTAACTCTGGAGTATCCAATCAGAATGCATGCAACCATATAAGCAAAGAGGAAGTAAAGTTGTTAAAGGATGTTTAAGACAATGCCCTGCTATGTCCCGGGCTGTCTTTGGATGTGAATCTACTGAACTAAGTGCCCCCAAGATTGAAAGCTGCTTCCTGCTGAAAGCCTCAGTGTCTTGACACTTTGCTGGAGAATCCCACTACATTTCTGGGAGCTAATGTCTGGGATTCAGAGATGGTGTTTCCACCTCCTTTGTCGCTGGGGTACAAGCCTGGGGACACCAGGAGAGGTGACTACACCTGGCCTAGCAGAAAGGTTGATCCATAGGAGGCTAGCCCTCCCAGTATGTCAGGGCAATGACCTGGGGAGCACAAAGAAACCTGGTGTGGTACAGGAAACAGCCAAGGGAGCACTGCCTGTCAGAACTGGTAGGAGCCTGAGGTTCATTAGGTTTGATTGCCTGCCTCCAAAGAGGCAGAAGGGGAGCCTGATCACATCCCAGAATTGCCCAAATAGCTCATAAGACAGAAGGAGTACCAAGGTGAGAAGGTTCTCTCAAGTGAAACCACAATTCTAAGGCAGTGGGTGGTAGGCTGGAGACATTCTCTGAGTGTGAGTGAATGGTGACTGAACGAGACAGGCTACAAAGTGATTTCTCACCCTTTCTCTTTCTCTCTTCATGTGTGATTGTCACCTTTTAGAAGGAAGATATAGATGGCCAACAGAATAAATCTACCCCCCTTGAGTGCATGATCTTGCCTAGAAGACATAGCTCTTCTCATGGGCATTGTCTTATGTCACTGGGAAAAACTGTCAAACATGCCTGTGACTACAGATTTCTAGCTCGGGCCACTGAAGATTAGGAATGGGACTGAATACCCCTTTGGCTGTGGTCTACTTCAACAAAGACCCAGGAAAAGAAGAGCAAGCCAAGAATCAGGAGCAATGTAGGAATGGGTGGCAGGTCAATTAATAACAGCTTTACACATGATCTTCCATCAAGGAGACCCAACAAGGCCAGTCCACCTCCAAATGGCATCATTTTTCGATGTGGAAAGACAAGGTTTGGGGCAAACAACAGTCATGATAGAAGCCAAACTCTAAAGAGTCCTGTCAGCTCTGCCAAGAGCTAGGCCACTGGAAACAGAACTGCCCTGGGAATGAAGGACTCTCAGGTCAGAGCTACAGACCCTGTTGGCCCTCCCTAAGTTGAAAAGGCCTTCACTTTGACCCATCTCCAAGGTAACCACTGCTAGTGAGGGGACTACCTAGGGTCAATAACATCATAGGCAGGACTATAAATTTCCCTTTAGAAATGCCACCTATTCCATCCTAACCTCTATTCAAACCAGCTCTTCTCCCAGACTGGCCAGGTAATAGAAGCCAACAGGGTATCTACTCAAGGATCTTCACAACTTCCTCTATGTCTCTTCCAGTACCCCACATGTAGACAGAGTTCAATGGCAAAACTTCCTCCTGGTTTGGATAGTGCCTTTCCCAGGTCTCTGAATAATGGTTCTGTCCTTTTGCTTTGGACCCTGTGTATTTAATCTGCTTGTTAGATATGTTTCCTCCAGATGTACAACAATGAAATTGTAGATGGCCATGCATATGAAACCTTGAAACAGCTTCTGCAAACTGGCAGTGCAGCCCCCTCAAGAGGCCATCTTCTGCTTGAACCCTGTCTTGACTGCAGGTCCCTACCTTACCCCGCATCAACTTAAAGAAGCCAGACTGGTCATCACCCTAACTGTAAAACACCAGGAGATGCTATGTGGGTAAAAAAAATGTTCAGCCCCTAAAACCTCTTTGAAGAAGTCTGTTCACAGCTGTTTTGACCACCCCTACCGCAGTTAAGGTTGCCAAGGTGGTGCCCTTGATCCAATATAGCAGGGTGAGACTGGCCTCTCAAGACCCAGAGTGCATCCCCAATCCAGTTGCACCATGTAAGCTGACCACCTGGAATAACCAGGCCATCCCTTGAGAGACTCCCAAGGACAATGGCCTTCTGGAAGCTGACCAATCTATGCATGGTTAAAGCTTGAGGAACCAACAGCCCTGCAACCTACAAGATAAGTAGCTTATTCTAGATTGTTGATACCTCTTACTGTAATATATTGTCATTCTCTGCCACTGTCTATAGTTATAATCGTGGCCCCGATCCTTGCCACAAGCTTGAAAGCCATGGTGGTGTCCTGTGTGAGTGTGTATGGGAGTACTGTTTGATGTGTATGTCCTGGTGATGCTGGATTTCTCCCATTTGTGATCTAGTTTTACAGCCAACAGATTGTGCTCAAGTGATGAAGCTTGGGGGAAGTCCTAGAAAAACTAAAATCAGGGAGTCTTTTCTCTTTTTTTTTCTGTCTACTTTCTGTCCTCACGTACACCACAATCAGTGGTTAATGACCTCAATATGACTTTTTTTTTTTAATTTTTTCTCTTTCTTCATCTTTTTTTTTTTTTTTTGACAGGCAGAGTGGACAGTGAGAGAGAGAGACAGAGAGGAAGGTCTTCCTTTGCCGTTGGTTCACCCTCCAATGGCCACTGCGGCCGGCGCACCGTGCTGATCCGATGGCAGGAGCCAGGTACTTATCCTGGTCTCCCATGGGGTGAAGGGCCCAAGGACTTGGACCATCCTCCACTGCGCTCCCTGGCCACAGCAGAGAGATGGACTGGAAGAGGGGCAACCGGGACAGAATCCGGTGCCCCGACCGGGACTAGAACCCGGTGTGCCAGCGCCGCAAGGCAGAGGATTAGCCTAGTGAGTCGCGGCGCCGGCCTATGACTTTTTGATTATTGTGTTTTTCTTTGGGGAAAGTAACTTTTTATTTGCAAATAGCTCTCACCTACAGGAATTAAGGCCTCCATTGTAAGATTTTGCAGCAGTCACATTTGTTCCTGGGCTTTGGTTGTTATTTCTGAATTTTGAGATGCTTTGCTATTTCTTACAAGATCTGATTGCTCCCTGGAACTCTGGGTCTATGTGATGTGGGAGACTCAGAGTTCTTCAGTTCTGGAGGTGTGGAAGGAGCTGCATTCATTCTAAAAGACAACTCCACACAACAGCTGCTGCTAAAAAGGGGATCAGACTTCACCTAGAGATGTAGATGGGCCGATCTGGCTAGGACTGATGAATCAGGAAGAGGTGGCTGACAGTGCTGTTCACATAAAAAAACTTTAATTTCTCCATGAGATTTTTTAAAACAGAGATGGATTTTGCTCCAAATTTAAATTTTGTGTAGTACTCTATATAATGTAATCAGCTTGGTGAGTTTTTTTGGACAACCTTAACTCAGCTTTATCTGACATGTAATGTAAAATAAGAGAAAATAAGATCTTTGTATTCTCAACAAGTTAATGTAGTAAGTAACCCCAATACATGGCAGAGGATTCTGGGCAAAAGATAAAAGGGATTTACAAAGGCCCTTGTGGGTCTAAAGAAAAGGTAAAACTGACTACATTGGATGAAGAAAAAGTAACTGAGAAAATCACAGATCAAAAAAAAAAACCAAAAAGTGGCCCACGTCCAGACATGGAAGAAAATGGCCCAGACCT